TTTGTTCACACTAAAGGGTACAACAGTGTGACAAAAAGCCAAATATTGGAATGATCAGAGGATGTATTAGGTTTTTCATGTATCCTAAACCTCCTTTGTCTAGTAGAAGTTGCTAAAAGAGACTGTTTTATAAGTCAGAGAATGGAGCAACTCAAAAACACAAAATGCGGCGATTATTGTGAGTTCAGTTAGTTCAGGCTTTTTACCTACCGGCTTTTTGCCCCGTCCAAGTACAAAATGTGTCCTTACGGAGACATAGCACATGAGCTAGGCCTCCTTTAGCACAGATCTGAACTGGAACAGACCTTAACTTCCTTTTGAAGGCCAAGACACACCTTCATCATATGCAGACAGGAATGGAAGAACCAACAGAACAAGGGACAAGGACGAGACCAAGACAAAAACGTCCTTATTAACATGTTAATCCAAACATCCTCCTGTTTACATGTAAATAGTACAAGGCCCATGCTTCCTCTTGGAAAAATGGATTATCCTTAGGAAGTCTGACTCACTACAAAACTTCAACTCACCAGAGACAGCAGAGAGACCAGTGAGAGAGCACGCAGTGAGAGAGCAGAGAGAGACCAGAGAGAGACGAGACAGAGAGGCCAGAAAGAGAGAGAGACCAGAGAGAGCCCATGAGGCCAGAGAGAGAGACGAGAGAGAGAGAGACGAGAGAGAGACACCAGAGAGAAACCAGAGAGAGAGACAAGCGAGAGAGAGAGAGACAAGCGAGAGAGAGAGAGACCAGAGAAGCCAGAGAGAGACACCAGAGAGAGACACCAGAAAGGCCAGAGAGAGAGACCAGAGAGAAACCAGAGAGAGACAAGAGAGAGAGAGAGAGAAAGAGATACCAGAGAGGCCAGAGAGAGAGAGAGAGAGGCCAGAGAGACCTCACAACTGTTTATATTTAGCTTTTTATTTTTTGTTTCTTATTTTTTCTCGGTAAAGCGTCTTTGAGTGTGCAAAAAACGCTAAATTAGTATGATTATTATTAACATACAAAATCCACCATCTTAGCCACATCTGATTCAATAAAATAATAACAACATTCTATCGTCAATAACGAACCCCTTGGTTCCGTGGTCGTGTCTGTGCAGAGCGAGAGATTAAACGCAGGACAGAACGTAAACTAGCCAGAGCTGTATTACAATCAAAGTGCGAGCTTATTCATTAGTACATTTGAGCAAATATACAAAGAAAACGGAACAAAGACTATCCAGCAGCGCTCGGAAAGCATTCAAAGAAGAAATGACTTCACGTTTAATAGAAAAGAGTACATTAAGGACATGTCTACTTTAGATATTACACGGATTAATATCTGTCAAGGCTTTCCTTTCTGCTTTCTGACATAATGCAATGGTTTTATACAGCGCTTTTCTGGACAGCTTCACTCCAGACGCGATGGTGATAAACTCCTAATGTAGCCACAGCTGCCCTGGGGCACACCGACAGAAGAGGGGTCATCATCCAGATTTTTCAGAGGGCCAGAGTTTCCCGAGACAGTCTCCTCGGGGACCAAACCCTCAAAGATAAAATTAAATTAGATTCATTTATTTGCCATTTGCAGTAAAACCACATTGGAATACATTCGCAAAAGTCCCCAGTGTGCACAAGACAAGTATATACATAATACAAAACATTTAATCAATCCAAAACAGTTTCAATAAAAAGGTAAGATCATTCATAAGTGCTCTGTTTAAACTGATAACACTCGTTGAAAGAAGCTGCGAGCAAAACGAGATGTCCTGCCAGAGGGAAGAAGCTGGAACATGGCTTTTCCAGGGGCCAGAAGAGTCATTGATTTTGTTCATTATTTTTTAAATCCCAGAAATCTTTCAAAACAGAGAAAAAAAATCAAAATGAAAACAATGAAGTACAAAAATAACTTGAAATTAAAAAAATATATAGTTTTCTTGATCTGCCAGATGGAAGAAGCTGGAACATGGCTTAACCAGGGGTCAAAAAATAAATAAATACACAGAAAAAAATTGATAAAAACAATTAAGTACAAAACTTAAAGATAAAATATATACTTTTCTTGATCCAGTCCATCCTTGATACAGTCGTTGGCCGGATCGAACGGCTCAGCGGGCCGGATTCGAACCCGCGGGCCGCTGGTTGATGATCCGTGTGGTGCCGGGTTCCTGGTCCTTGTCTGTCTGCCGTAGATCCTGACATTACACTGGTGCTGAGCCTTCACCGTGTAATAGTCTTGTTTAAAAGCCACGCAGAGAAACACACGCTGAGATATTCTTTGTAACTGCAGCTAGTTCCCATTAATGTGTGGTCAGGGCAACAAAAGACCAGCAAATTAAACGCTCCAACCAGGAATAATTGGCCCTTCGTTACGAGCGTGTATTCAGTGTCAGGATCGATACATAAAGTAATGGCCCCGGCTGCAGAACAAAGAAGGAACACGGCTGCAATTCACCTCGGTACAAACGGGAGATAAAGGTAATATTCGGCCGACGGAAGATCAGAGGAAACTGGAGAGAGTCTGAGAGTGAGGACCAGTGTGAGCAAGGAGTTTGTGGGGTTTGTTGTCTTGCGTTTTTACTTGCACAACCTGCTTCTGCTACAGTTTGTACAATTACGTTAGGGCAGGCCCATCAAACGCAAGCTCCTGGGCCAAATTTGGTCCGCAAGACTACTTTTAGTGGCCCTTGAATCCATTTTTAATTATGGATATGAACTGTTAATAGTCCTGGATCTACAGCCTCAGTCCTGGATCTACAGCCTCAGTCCTGGATCTACAACCTGAGTCCTGGATCTACAGCCTCAGTCCTGGATCTACAGCCTCAGTCCTGGGTCTACAGCCTCAGCCCTTGGATCTACAGCCTCAGTCCTGGGTTTACAGCCTCAGCCCTTGGATCTACAGCCTGAGTCCTGGATCTACAGCCTCAGCCCTGGATCTACAGCCTGAGTCCTGGATCTACAGCCTCAGTCCTGGATCTACAGCCTCAGTCCTGGGTCTACAGCCTCAGCCCTTGGATCTACAGCCTCAGTCCTGGATCTACAACCTCAGTCCTGGGTCTACAGCCTCAATCCTGGATCTACAGCCTCAGTCCTGGATCTACAGCCTCAGTAATGGACCAACAGCTCCTATGTTTGTTATTACATTTCCTGTCTTTGAACTGTTCCATTCTCTGATCTCTTGGTGGTGAATCAACAACCTCATAAAGACGATTTAAGGCTATACAAAATACAATCCAACTGAAATCAAAAAATTATCATAAAGTCACCGTTGCATGTTGCATCCCCTTTAAACAGCTGCTGATTATGTGATTTCCGGCTGAGTTTAGAGTCTGAAACCTGAGCTCTTTGTCAGTTGCCCTCACGGCGAGTGGCAGCCAACGTCAATAACATCGATTCTGCCCAAGCTGGAATTCCATCCTCTTCTTTTCGGCTCGTCCTCACAGCTGCCGGAGAAAAAGTGGCATGAAAAAGACCATATATATTTGGCATTTTCATTCAGGAGGTCAGTCAGGGCGTCTCACTTCTCCCGCAGTTTTTAGCAGCTTCAGGAGCCCACGGTGTGTCAGAGGTGGAGAATAAAATCTATCTTGTGGGCAGGTGGTATTGGCAGGGGAATATGGCCGGGGGGAAGACAGACTGCCCTTCCAGTGGGCTCAGTGTGTCCAGGCTGAAAAATATATATGTGAAGCAGCGATTGTGCGGTGCTGACGAATGAATAGTGCCAAAAGTGAATGTTTGTGTTGGCACAGTTTTGGAAATGCAATTCAATTCAATTCATCTTATTTTTTGTATGGCTTTAAAGGAGCAGTATGTACAAATCTGGCCAAAATAGCTGAATAGACATATTCATAACGAGACCTTTTTTGGTTCTGCGGCCACATGTTATTTTACAAGTGAGATTAGCTCGACACGGTGAGTTCTGGCAACCCGGATCACGGACTTTCTGATAGGTAAAATGGTGAAAACAATAAAAACAATAACAAGATTTAGAGGCTGTAAAACTAATTCTGAAATCCAAATATCTCTGAACTACAGTTAAAGTTAAGGAAGTATTGGAAAATAACATGTTTTTTGAATTTCTTTGGACAGATTAGGGCCCTTTAATGATGACTTGACATGAAAATCTTGTTGATGGAATGAGGCTCTAGATCCAGGAGTTAAAAGACATTTTTGTATTTACTGCTTCTAATTCCACTGTATGTGTTGTACTTTATTTGTTTAAAAAAAAGTCCAATGATGTAGACACTACCACAGGAGCCACAGCTGCCCTGGGGCACACTGTCAGGGGCAAGGCAATCGGTCTGTGCCATCCGTCCCTCCCACCACCACCAACCATTCACACACACCACCAGACTTATAACCTGGATTTGATCAAAGTCAGAAGAAGCCTGTCTCACATTTTCAGGAAGACCGTCCTAGATATAGCTGCATGAATCTGAGACGTTCCCTCCACATGTTTAGTCCTGACTCTGGGACCAGCGGAGTCTGCTTTACACCATGTGGAATACAAAGAAGGGGACATTAAAGTTTATAGTTGTTCACTCTCTCCATTGATTCATTAACGTCCTCTTGAAAACGATTTGATGGTTTTTGTTTTTTCGTCTGTGTGATCGCGTTTGAAGGGCCTTGCGTGGGAGAAGGCGGCCTCACAAGTGCCTGTGATGAAAAAGCCACTCGGAACCATGTGGGCAGATCATAAACACCCGCTCCGCTTCATTATGTCGCTGGTCATTGTGATTCAAATGTTTCCAGATCGTAAAGTGGAAAAAACAAACCGGATAAAACGTGGGTATAGATTAGGGACAGTGTTGGGCAATTTACCTCAAAAAAGAGTCCTTAGTGGTGATTTAATGTCCTGTAGATAGTCTGGCCTCCTCCTGCCCACGTTGGTCCTAGTCCTCGCTGGTCCTTCTCTCTCTGCCCACATGATCCTGGTCTTCGCTGGTCCTTCTCTCTCCTGCCCACATGGTCCTGGTCCTTCTCTCTCTGCTCACATAGTCCTGGTCCTCGCTGGTTCTTCTCTATGTGCCCACATGGTCCTGGTCCTTGCTGATTCTTTTCTGTCTGCCCACATGGTCCTGGTCCTCGTTGGTCCTTCTCTCTCTGCCCACATAGTCCTGGTCCTTCTCTCTCTGCTCACATGGTCCTGGTCCTCGCTGGTCCTTCTCTATCTGCCCACATGGTCCTGGTCCTCGCTGGTCCTTCTCTATGTGCCCACATGGTCCTGGTCCTAGCCGGTCCTTCTCTCTCAGCTCACATGGTCCTGGTCCTCGCTGGTCCTTCTCTGATGACAGATTTGCACCCTGCCCACATGATCCTGGTCCTCGCTGGTCCTTCTCCTGACAGATTTGCACCCTGCCCACATGGTCCTGGTCCTCGCTGGTCCTTCTCCTGACAGATTCGCACCCTGCTCACATGGTCCTGGTCCTCGCTGGTCCTTCTCTCCTAACAGATTCGCCCCCTGCTCACATGGTCCTGGTCCTCGCTGGTCCTTTTCCTGACAGATTTCCACCCTGCTCACATGGTCCTGGTTCTCGCTGGTCCTTCTCCTAACAGATTCGCACCCTGCCCACATGGTCCTGGTCCTCGCTGGTCCTTCTCCTGACAGATTCGCACCCTGCCCTTGTTTACCAGCTTCTCTGAAAGTCCCACTCTCGGCCTGTGCTTCTTTCTGAGAGATGACAGCTCAGACTTTACAGCTGTCGGCCTGATCTGTAAACGAGAGAACGCTGCTCTGAACCAAAGTCTAACAAACTAAACAGTACGAATCATTTTTTGGCTTTTATATTTTTGTAAAGCGTCCGTCTCTGCCTGAATCTCATGTAAATAGTGGTTTGCGTTGCTTCTGTGGTTCTGTAATCCGTCGCTTCTTTGCTCGATGCTTAAAGATTTAAATTGAGAACCAGGTGGAGGAGGTGGACGATGGTTCTGAGCTCTGAGTGCCTCTGGTCTCTCCCTGGTAGACCATCGAGCAGTTTTACTTTAGCTGTTACTAATACGACCTTTCTCATATTGTTAACTGTTTTGTCTTTTTGGAGTTGTTGGAAGTTTACTGTGGTTTCGGGACTACTGTATAAGGACGCTAGGATCTATCTAGTCTCTCTCTGGTCTCTCTTCTAGTCTCTCTCTTCTAGTCTCTCTCTTTGGTCTCTCTCTCTATAGTCTCTCCGGTCTCACTGTCTGGTCTCTCTCTGGTCTCTCTTTGGTTCCTCTCTCTAGTCTCTCACTGGTGTCTCGCTGGTCACTTCCCTAGTCTCTCTCTAGTCCCTCACTGGTCTCTCTCTGCTCTCTCTATAGTCTGTCTTTGGTCTCTCTCTCTGTTCTCTCTCTCTTGTCTCTCTTTGGTCTCTCTCTGTTCTCCCTCTAGTCTCTCTCTGGTCTCTCTCTTGTCTCTCTTTGGTCTCTCTTTAGTCTCTCAATAGTCTCTCTCTAGTCTCTCTGGTCTCTCTCTGTTCTCTCTCTAGTCTCTCTCGTCTGTCTCTGTTCTCTCTCTAGTCTCTCCCTCGTCTCTCCCTAGCCTCTCTCTAGCCTCTCCCTAGCCTCTCTCTAGTCTCTCTCTATAGTCCCTCTCTCTCTGGTCGCTCTCTAGTCCCATATAAAATCCAACCTCCCATGCTCCTTTAGTCTCAGAATCCAGACAGATAAAACAGTAATAGTTTCCCAAACCCACATTATTCAAATATTCCACATCTTTCAGCTCATGTCTATATTCTTCACCTCCTGCAGCGACGGACGATTGGACCCCTGTTGTGTTAATTAGAAAAGCTGCATCCAGAGACCCCTGTTGGGCTGAAAACCTCCCTGTGTCCGTCACTCACCGGGATCCATGCCTCCAGCTCCAGTCATTACTAAAATAACCTACCTTTGAATTAGTTAAAATAATGTAATTTAAAAAACTTATGAGAGGGTTTTTCGGTTGATTCTTTGTCTTTATCCTTTTCCCTACAATCTCTCCATGTGATAGACAAGGCAAGTTTATCTGTATAGCACAGTTCATACACAAGGAAACTCTAAGTCCCAACAAGAGGCCAGTCCTTGTGCTCCTCAGTCACCAGCAGGAGGCCGGTCCCTGTGCTCCTCAGTCACCAGCAAGAGGCAAGTCTATGTACTCCTGAGTCCCAGCAGGAGGCCAATCCCTCTGCTCCTCAGTCCTAGCTGGAGGCCAGTCCCTGTGCTCCTCAGTCCCAGCTGGAGGCCAGTCCCTGTGCTCCTCAGTCCCAGCTGGAGGTCAGTACCTGTGCTCCTCAGTCACCAGCAAGAGGCCAGTCCCTGTGCTCCACAGTCCCAGCAGGAGGCCAGTCCCTGTGCTCCTCAGTCCCTCTGTTGGGTTGCCTTCTCTCTGTCCTGGTCGTCCCACTCTCTATGAACCACTTCTATGTGTTTGTCATTGAGTGGCTGCATAGACTATGCAGCCACTATATACTCTCCTACTGTTTATTCTTCTTCTTCCACTTCCGCCAGATTTTGGCACTTTTCAACTCTTCAACGCTTTCACCAAATTCAACAAATTATACATCGTTACGACCGGCTTCACCGTCTCATTATTGCTATTACTTTTCACACTTCCACCTCTAGCACTTTTTCAGATATTAACAAAAGTTCAAGCACTTTTTCCCATTGACTTACATTGGACCAGTACAACAGATTACTCCCCATACAACACATTACCACACTAACAATTCATTACCACAGATACAATACATTACAACATCTTACAACACTTACAGCACCTTACAACACTTACAGCACTTTACAACACATTCAGCACTTTACAACACATTCAGCACTTTACAACACATTCAGCACTTTACAACACATTCAGCACTTTACAACACATTCAGCACTTTACAACACATTCAGCACTTTACAACACATTCAGCACTTTACAACACATTCAGCACTTTACAACACATTTAGCACTTTACAACACTTTCAGCCCCTTACAACACATTCTTCTTACTGCATCTTATTCACTTCTTCCTCTTCTTCCCCTTCTTTCTCTTCTTCCTCTTCTTCCCCCCCTTCTTCCTCTTCTTCTTCTTCCTCTTCTTCCTCTTCTTCCCCTTCTTCCCCTTCTTCCCCTTCTTCCTCTTCTTCCCCCCCTTCTTCCCCTTCTTCTTCCCCTTCTTTCCCTTCTTCTTCCTCCTCCTCTTCCTCCTTCTTCTTTCCTCTTCTTCCCTTTTCTTTCTTCTTCTTCCTTCTTCTTCCCCTTCTTCTTCCTTCTTCATCCCTAACCCTTCCAACATCTATGCAGCCACTCACAATGGCTTCAGCCATTGTACCATTTCTAGTTATTCAAACTGTTTGAGTCTCTGATTTGTCGATGGCAAATTGACAACTTTGTAAAGACACTCGTGAAAAACCAATTGCGCAAAACAACCGCCGCAAAAAACGTCAGTCAAAAAACAATGTTTTTTTTCCTATTTCCTTGTTTCTTTTTCCATTGTCCTTTTTCTTTCCATCTCTCTCTCTCTCTTTGACGCCGCTCTTTTCTTTTTCTCTGACGACAATTCACACTCCAGACGCAATCGCTTCAAAGTTTCAATCCCCGGCGAGAATGCGTTTTTAAGTATCTGTCTCTCGGCGGATTCCATTTCTCCCCCGCGTCTTTAAACGCCTCTAAAATGCTTGGTTTTAAGAGACCTCACTCGGATATATTACAGCTGCTACAGTCGCTTTCAACTCCCTCAGTGTTCCATTGGTGTGCGTGTGTGTGCGTGTGTGTGCGCGTGTGTGTGTGTGCGTGTATATACAGTATATGAGGCTTATTACTGGCCTTTGTTCACATGGTTCTTTCGCTGAGATAAGGGGCTGCCTTTGAGTGTGTTAGCCGTGCTGCTAAACGAGACTTAAGAAGAACAAAATGAAATAATGGGAAAGTGCTTGAGTGGTTTTGAAAAAGTACAGTGGAGTGCCGCGTACATGTTACGGCAATATACAAATGAGACTTTGAACTGAGCCCAATGGATGCGAATAAACTTTCCTGGCCTAACTTACTCCTCTAAATTAGTACATTATTCTAAACTTGAAGATCTATTTATCAAATGAAATGTCTTTATTGTTCAGCCCTTTCCCCAAACAATGCTCATGGGCGGCACGGTGGCTGAGTGGATAGCACTCTTGCTTCTCAGCAAGAAGGTCCTGGGTTTGAATCCCGGTGGAGTGGAGTTTGCATGTTCTCCCGGTGTCTGCATAGGTTTCCTCCGGGTGCTCCGGTTTCCCCTACCACTAAAAACATGCACAATAGGTATGAATGTAAATGAGAGAGTGAAGGGATGGTGTTGATCGGGGCTGATGCTCCAGTGTATTCGGCGACTCGCTTCTGTCATCACCGTGTGTGGAATGATTGGAACATTATCTGAACTCTGAACATTGTAAAGCGCTTTGGGTGACCTTGGTCTGTAAAATGCGCTATACAAATAAACATTACTTACTTACTTACTCGCTGGTCTCTCTCTCTGGTCTCGCTCGTCTCTCTCTGGTCTCTCCCCAGCCTTTCTGTCTCTTGTCTCTCTCTTGTGACTGTCTAGTTTCTCTCTCAGGTCTTTCTCTCTCTGCTCTCTCTGGTCTCTCTCTCTGGTCGTGAGATCAAGTCTTTAGAAAAGTGTATAAAGTATCAGGGGTTTTACAGCCAACACACAGCTGCTACTTTAGGGTTATTTTTGTTTTGCTATTGCAGGTCTTTAGAACCCTTTATCATTAGAACGTAACCCTCACAATTAACAAGTGACCACTGTATACAAATTAAATGGCACGTTTTTTTTCTTTTTTTCTTGCACACACATTGGCTACAAACAAACCCAGCCATAACCTTGTGCCTGTTCCTACATCTACAGTACCAACCTTCACCCAATTACCCACCGCCCCAGCTTCTCACACCTTAGATTGCTTTTGTGACAAACTAGCTTAGCTTCCAGATTAAACCCACCATTTTCCCCGGTGGCCGACCTGCTCCCTGACCGTCCTGGACTTGCCTCTCTCCCCGTAGGGACCTGACCCGGGTCTGGAGTGATTCGGCTGTAATGTAACTTCAGAATAAACTGGATTTGATGATCCACCGGCGGCAGTGACAGTGGGGGCTCCTCTCGCACCACTTTCCGGAGCTAAACTTGATTATGGTGCCGGGCCTGATTCTCCCACAGTTTCCCCAGAGGGAGTGAGGGGCAGACGGGAGCAGGAAGTGGACTGTCACTCCGCATCACCGAGCTCTCCATGTCCACCGCGGCACCTGGAGGAGAGACCGCATTTGTACGGCTGTCTGTCAGGAGGCTCGGCTTCACAACCTGGAAAAAGGCTGTAACCTGCTTCTGTTTTGGACCACATAGTCAGATTTATGACAAATGCTCTTTTATTCATTTAAATATTTAGATAATGCAAGTTTATTTGTGCACAGTTCAGAAATAATTACAGTTCATTAAAAAGTGCGAAGATACAATCCTTCAGTTGAATGCTGCTAAAAAGAACTTGGATATGAACATTGTCAGAGACGAATCCTGTCTCACATTTGGACGGTTGGAGATTTTAGCTGCATGAATCTGAAACACCACCTCCTCATGTTTTGTCCTGACTTTTGGACCAGCTGAAGGCCAGTCCCTGTGATCCTTTGAGTCCCAGCAGGAGGCCAGTCCCTGTGATCCTCTGAGTCCCAGCAGGAGGCCAGTCCCTGTGATCCTTTGAGTCCCAGCAGGAGGCCAGTCCCTGTGATCCTCTGAGTCCCAGCAGGAGGCCAGTCCCTGTGATCCTCTGAGTCCCAGTTGGTCCATATGGCACTAACATGTGACAGATGTTCTTTGCTGCTTTAAAGTCTATTTTCTGAGTCACAGGAAGACAGACCAGACCCCTGATTGTAGGAAGAAATTGAATGCCTATATTGGCGGAGCTAAAGCTGGGAAACCCTGTGAATTTGTGTTATCAAGGCTAATTTGAGGGCGCATTTAACCAGCGGACCTCAGTTTGGAAATGCCTGATCTAAAACAACTGCAGGACTGTTTTTGCCGAGGGATTAATGTTTGCATGTTTTTTGGAACATGTGTCTTTTAAACAATGATATTCTCATCATGACAACTCCACAAACAAATTCCCCACAGCAGCTTGGGGTCCTGGTCTGGTGCAGTGATTTAGTCCTGGTCTGGCTGTCTTTGGTGCAGTGACATGGCCCGGGTCGGTGCTGGGCAGTGGTGGACTGACAGGGCAGTTGCAGGTGACAGATCCTGCTCTGGCTCTGGCCTCTGAAGTGTGCCATGTGTCTGCGGCCAACAAAAGGCTGTCACTGACACACGAGAACAGAGAGAGGCTGCGGTCACATGTGGAGGAGAGACTGACACTGTGGGGCGGAGGAGCGGGAGGCCAGCTGGTGGATTGGAAAGTGTGGGTGCAAAAGATAAATAGATACTTCATGGATTCCTGTTGGAGAAATGCAAGTGTTTAGTAGCAGCAAAAACACATCTATCCACACAAAAAAACAAATAAATTGATCATTCTAAAAAGCTCAATAGTAATAATAATATTCAACAGTCCTTCAGGTCACAGCAACAGCAATGGAGCCGTTTGATTCGGACCATTTTCCCTGCTCTGGTCCAAAGTAAAATGCTGAATGCTTTGTTAGCTTTAAAAAAACAAGTTCATTCAGTGGATTTTCACCTGATCCACTTGGTTCGGACCATGAATCCACTTTGCTCCGGTCTAGACCACTGTAAAACCATTGACACTGTACTGCAGAGACATCTCAGGTAGAAAAAGCAAGAAAAATAACAATTGTAAAACACAAAACAACTGTTTCAGAGTGACTCAGGACCTGCTGCCGTTTTCAGCGCATTCAAAGTTATGACATGTCTGCAACTTCTTTTGTATTTATGGTTTAAAAGAATGGAATTTCTGAGATATCAATGCAATCTTCCAGCTTCAGGAGGAGCTGGTGACGCACACTTACACACAGACGCTAACACATTGTACGCAAACTTTTTCTCACAAATGTAATGTGAGTCATGTGATTGTAAAAAAAATAGCTTAACCAGAGAAATTGCCAAAACCAATGTATGGGCAATACATTTGTTGAAAAACTAAAAGAAAAACTCTGCATGATATGTATCTGTAATTTGGCCGTGTTGAGTAAGCATTTTGATATGAACAAAAGTTGCTGTCTTTTTGATGTTGAGATCTGCCACTGACACAGTCTTGCTCCAGGGCATAGATTTTTCAACAGCGTCCATTTCTTATCAATTGATTAGTTGTCGAAAAAATCCCTGTCCATAAGTATTTCTGGTCATGTCATGGTCATGTTTCTGCATGGTTTCATGACCCTCCTGCATCTCAGCAAGGAACGACTAAAAGAAAAGTGAGAAACCTCATTGAGAGAGAGAGAGATGTGACACTTCACATGTCATATAACTTTAATTCCAAACATAGCAGTGATAAACTACTACTGTAGCCACAGCTGCCCTGGGGCACTCTGACAGAAGCGAGGCAACCAGTATGTACCATCAGCCCCTCCCACCACCACTAACCATTCACACACACACACACCACCAGACTCATTCTAGGTAAAGTAAGTGAAGCGTCTTGCCTAAGGACACACCCAGTTTGTCACTATACAGCCGCCAGAGGTCTCCCATCACAGCACTAACCAGGCCCTTCCCTGCACAGCTTCAGAGGTCTGACGGGATCTGGTTTCCACATTCAAGTATATGGCTAAGTATGCAAAAATTCGAAAATAGTGTAATGAAGAAATGGAAATGACTCTGCATAGCTTTCGCTCCCAAGGGATTATTTTCGGGCAAAACTACCCTTCATCAGACATGTCCTGTACAAAATAATCATGCAATATTTAGCAGAAATGTGTTTGCCTTCTTCCAAAACGGTTTCTGTCTGGAGTGAGTGAGTCTGCGAGACAAAGACAAACCCATTTCTCTCAAAAGGCGTTTAGAATCAAAGCGGCAGCTGTTCTTTGCCGGTGACGATTGGACAAACTTATTTCTGTCTGTGAGTGTTTGTGATTTTGGAGATGTGGTCACGAAGTCCCTTTTGTGTTTTGAAGACAAAAGAACTCGCAGGTGGAAAGATTTTAGACTGGAGTTTATTTGACATTGTAAGAGCATTTTTTTAAATTCCCTGGAGAGATTGCCACTTATTTACGGTATAAATGTGGAACAGAGGTGCGTTCCAAATGATTTGTCTTTGAGAAATCGTTTTGCATCTCTCCAAAGCTTTGCCGAATGACTTTCACATCAACACATTTCTGTTCTGACTTGCAAAAGGCAAATGCGAGGGTTCTTTTATACAAACTGGCCGGGTATTACTAGCATTAGCCTGTCGTGACTGTGGGACTAAACGCCACTCCATTGATGTGGCAGTGAAAGTCCTGGGAATTTGTTTTTCCCATTCAACGCCGTGTTAAGAACTGTTTTCAGAAAAGATGTTTGAAAAGTGTAGGAAGAAGTTTGTGTAGTAGTTCCGGTATTTTGCTTCCATAGACTTTTCTTGTATAGCCCTGAATCACAACAGTCGTAGCAGACTTTACACAACCGTTAAATTCGCCAGCACAGATCAGAGAATCAGTTCGAGCACACGAAACAAGAACTGACCTGAATCCTCACTAGTAAATAGCTAGTTCTGGTTAAACTTGAAGGGTAAGTCTTTCCAGCACCAGATCTCAGAACTTTTTGGGACCTTCATGTAAATTTTGTAATGGACTTTGCAATGGTAACTTCTGATTTCTCAAACTCTTTTCTTGGAGCTTGGAATCTATGCATGTTCGGAGGGTTAGCTAGAACTGGAGTAGCTGCTATTGCAAAAACCGAACGAGCTCTGAATCTCTGCCAGAACTGAACTGAATCCTCACCTGTTTTTTCTTGTGTCTTCTCGTCTAGGTAAAGAAGAGTCGGTGGCCACCTTCAAGGGCAACGAGTTCTTCTGCTACGACCTGTCTATGACGCCCATCCAGAGCAGCACGGACGAGATCACGCTCTCCTTCCGGACGCTGCAGAGGAACGGCCTCATGCTGCACACGGGGAAATCCGCCGACTACGTCAACCTGTCCCTGAAGAGCGGAGCGGTGTGGCTGGTCATCAACCTGGGCTCCGGAGCCTTCGAGGCCCTGGTGGAACCGGTCAACGGCAAGTTCAACGATAACGCTTGGCACGATGTCCGCGTCACCAGAAACCTGCGCCAGGTAAGGGACGGGCGAGGGAAGTTCTGTGCTGAGTTGACTTTCACTTTTGCTTGTCCTAGAGTTGCAGAATTTCTTCATTTATTGTTGAGAAGTTTCTTGATGAATTTGTCTCTTGCAATAGATCTTTGGTCCACCTTGGTCTACAGAATGTGTGCAACCCCAGATGGTCCAGGAAAGATTGTTTCTGGTATCACATGGGAAGTCATTTAAATGTGACCAGAACATGGGTTTTGTAATGTTAACTTGTTTTTCTTGTTTTCATTGCTGTTCCAAGGTAAAGAATGTCTGCAAGTTTTAAAACATTTGCAAAGACAACGGTGAAGCTATTTACAAAAGTAAGAACTTAAAACTTGCACGCCCAGAGCAGTTCATTTCTAAATTCAAATTATATTGACCAGATTTAGCAAGTGAATGATGATAAAAAACCCAAAAATAATTGAATAAATCTAGTTTTTAAGGTAATTTCTTAGAATTCCATTGTTTTAAATAGAAGCAGTCACAATTGCAGCTCTGAGAAGTCTTGTAGTTTCATGTTTTTGAGTCCTAGTGTTAACAACCATCCATGCTTTGAAATACACACTTTTTCTGACCCAATTAGTCTAAGTTGAAGCTTCCTTAAAGTTTGAATTGAATTTTTAGGCCGACAAAATAATGCATTATTTACATATTTATATATTGCTTGTTATATATTGCTTGCGGACATTCCCTTGAACTAAAATCAACCTTCGTGCCCAAACTATTCATTGTTTTAGCTCATTTTTTACCTGACATTTCCAGATGCCTGCACTATGGGGGGACCTGGCACTGCGGCGGTTCCGTCTGCAGTTCTGCTATCTCCGTGTCTTGTTGATTAAAAAATGCTCATTATTTTTATTCGTCTTGCACATGCTGTCTTTTGGTAACAATTGTTTCTGCTTGACTAACACCCATTTTATTTAAGGACGGAGATAACCAGGCTTTATACTGGAGTGTATCTGATCCCTTGTTGAATGCAATCTCTTAATTAATCACCAATTCCGTTTTTTCCTCAGCTCAAGGTGCTCGCCTTTCTTTGCTCACTTTCGCCTTTGTGTACTTCATCTTTTCTGTTTTCCATAATGTTAATATATCTTCATATGAATGTCAATGTTATAGAGAGCTTTTCAATGTTCTCATGAGTATGCATTGATCACTAGCTACAGTATGTTCCAGGCCCCACTTATTCAATTCGATTCATTTTATTTTTGTGCGGCCCTAAATCACAACAACAGTCGTCTGGGGGCTTTCAAAGTTGTTTATTTGCCAACACAGATCAGATAATCAAATTTGAGCAAATAACAATAATAAACACATCCTGGATCATCACCACTCCTAGACCCTCCTGTATTGGCAAGGTACTCAAAAGTGAGAAACCTTATTCAGGTAGGGATTCGTAACTACTGCCAGAGAGGGTATAGATCCAGGAGTCAGGCTGTAGAACGAGGACAGAGACCATGCGATGCAGGACTGAGGCGGCTCCCAGGATCTAATGTATTCCACTTTATCATAGTTGACAATGCCCTTAATACGTTCTCCCCAAATTACCAAACACATCTTTTCAAATCTTCCAATCGAGCTTAATGGAAAACAAAATGGCCTCTCCAGCCTTTTGTATTCCAGGGTTTTTTGTTGTTTTAAATTGGCTCCAAAAACATTTGCAATTCAAACAACTCGCACACATACCTTGCTCATCAATCGACAGTTGCGTATAGTGCTGGTGAAATTCGATCAATTTCACTTAAGTCGGCCGTGCTTACTGTTTCACATTTTTCTCAGCGCTTGTAATTGGAATGAATGGCTTGTCTGGTCCAATAAGTGGCATTGTTGTAAAGCTGGCATGCATTAACTTGAAGATCGGCATACTGCGGACGAGCGTGAAAATTAGGCTTAAGTTGCAAGTTTAAAAAAACCAGCAAAAAAATAAAAAATAACCCCAAAAGAAAACAGATGGTGCCTATAGCGTTTCAAGCGTAAAGCATATTTCTCCCACCTCGTAACAGTTGGTACAGACAATCAAGCTAAAAAAGCTAGCTAGTTGTATAATGCTGCTGGTATTGCTGATGTCGTTACTGTTAGCACTAGTTATTAGCTTGTTGTGGCTAAAAACTTGATTGACTTATTTTCAATTAATTATAATGTTATTTGTGTGAATGTCAGACCTAAGAAGCAAAATCTTATAAATATTTTAGAATTTTGTGTGAACGTGTGATCCCGGAGCTCAGTTGTTAAGAGCATTGGCCTTTGGGCCTGATGGTCGTGGGTTCAAGTCCACCATGCGACCTACTTCCCGTCTCCCACTGATGTCTCCTGCCGTTGTGTCCTTGGGCAAGACACTTAACCCCACTTTGCCTGAAACACCCACTGAAAGATCAAGGGTCCTGTGGACTCACCACCTGCGAGAGGATCAGTGAGGGGCTGGTGCTATGCAGCTCTGACTGCCACCCCTCCAACCCAGAAATGGATTAAGGGGAAGAAAATGGATGGATGGATGGAGTGGCCCCAGTAGAGGGAAGACCCAGAAGCGGCTGATTTAAGCATAAGCTAGCTGGAGCCAATTTCCTTATATGGGCGTTCTTTCAGCGTTAGCTTTGTGCTGAAAGAAGGTAGCCATGTATAACTCTATTTTCTTTTTCTCTATTTCAAAAACATGTAGACATGAAGTTGTGGTCTGATTAGTTTACTACAACAAAGACACAAATGTATTAAAGATTAATAAAAGTTGCCTTCTTCAGCTTTAAGACTTTGTATATAGAGAAATAAGTCATCCACAAAGTCTTTAATACCTTGACATGACAAGGATGAGATTGCAACACACGACACAAATGTCTTGTTTTGCTTCAGGTCAGGAAAGGGGAAGTAGGACGGATCACAGTCGGGGTTAGAATCGTCATAGCTGCTCGATGCGTGGTCAGCAGAGTGCGTAATGACTTTATGACGGCAACTATGGGGTTCGGCAGATTTACGGCGGAAGTGCCTCCAGCTACGACCGGCTTTGACTTAGCCCCTGAGTTCATGGTATATAAATGTGTGTGTATGTAAGCATGTACGCTGCAAAAAGTGATGAAAAAAAATTGTTCATATTTGGCAAGGATGTATCTTTCTGACTGCCTTATTACAGGATTTACCAATGAAACAAAGAAAAACTATCTTATTTTAAAAAGGTACAATAAATGTCACCCTTGGAAGGAGAAAATAAAACACAGGTAAAATGGATTGGGATGGGGCAGGCAATCAACTGTGTGGACAGGAAGTAAAATTCACAATATATCAAAATATAACCAGTAAAAGTTGTCAAAGTCCACACCATGACTTACTTAGTGTTAGCCTTGGTGACAGAAGAGGCCGTTTTGAACATAAGCTAGCTGGAGCCAATTTCCTTATATGTCCATTTAATAACCTGCATTTTAAAAGTTATCTAGCATCTGGCTCTTTGTTTGTCAAACCTGAGATTTTTCAGTTAATTAAATTAACTTGGCACAACAATAAATCCAATTTGGCATCATCCGCAAACCGGTCGGTGCCTTGGCCAAACCCACACAGTCATTTCAATAATTGTCACAAATAAATGGCACACAAAAGTCTCACTAAAATACTCCTGGGTTTGATTCCACGTCCAGACAGGACATTCTGGGTGTACTTTTCATGTTCTCCCTGTGTCTGCATGTGAGTATAGTCATGGGACAACAGATGCAAATGATCAATCCAGAGCATTGTGTTCATTAACATGCACTGTCCCAAACAAAAAGGAAATAACAGCCAGGGTATTAATAATGCTATTAAAATAGTTAGCACAATTTGCTACCTTCGGAGAAGTTACCCTTTGTTATTATTCAAAGATTGCTCTAATGTCGTAATAAATACAAATTCCAAATATTGCCGTTTGTCTATGTAGCATGTAAGCTAGATTTGGTTTCCTTTAACTTCAAAGCATGCATCCAAAGTATACGTTTTTTGGATCAAATTATCAGGATGTTTTTCAACTTGAAGCTACCAGCTACATTTCTTTAGTTGGTAAACGTGATAAGCATGCATTCATTGATTCTGTGATCTCATCCGGTAACATTCCCTCTAAAAGCTACCAAGCATCGGGCTCAATTATTCAGTTTTATGTCAGCTAGCTGCTTTGACATTGCACAAGTAATAGCTATTGCTTCATAATATTACACCAAATGTATGTAGTAGTAATAAATCTTTATATATATTGTGCATTTTTACAGACCAAGGTCATCCAAAGCGCTTTACAATGTTCAGAGAAATGATTTAAAGCTGGAATACAGATAGATTGTAAAAATAAAATACAGAAACAATTATTTTTCTTATTACGGAAAGAATGTTGGAAAAGTAACAAATCAGAGCACAACATGGCGTCTTCATCAATAAGAAAACATATCATTTTTTGAGTAGTGTTAAGACAGAGCCCTGAGTCACTAACCGCTTTGTTGGGCTTGAGATCTGATTGGCTGAGAGAGGGTGGTCCTTTCTGTCAGTAAAACCTAATCTAAAGATGTGACAAGGCCTAAAAATACATGTGAAAACTCATGACGGAAGCAAACTGTTTTGAGAGCCAGGAACTAATTACATTGTTTCGTGGTTTTAAAGTTATGTACCACAGCTTTAAATACCCCTCTCTTGTTGAGTTGATAATTTGATTGCTACCTCAGCCGTGTCCTTCACCCCGGCACAGGCGTATCTGTTAGCGCATGATTCACGGTGGCTCTGGCTTTCACCCTGGCTAACTGTCCGTGTAATGCTGTCCTGGCTAGCTTCCATTAGCGCTAATCCCCCAATGTCGGTTTGTAATTGACGTTAGCAGCGGCGCTAAGTGCTAAGAGGTGGTTGCGGCGGTGCGCGCTTAGTCGCTCGCGTCCCGTCGAGACCCGTCGGTAAGAGGTTCCAATGGCAGACTTTGATCACCCCCGGGTTTAGGATTTAGCTTGAGCCGTACAGGAGGCTGTATTGTTGTTTTTTAACAGTGGGAGCGG